AGTAATCACACACCAAGCCTTACAATCAATAGCAGCAAGTAATACAAATGACACATGCCAACACATTTACTAATTAAAACTGTAAGGGGCTATCTATTAAGTTTCAGAGGTAGTTTAACAGGCATTCTGCTGCACTGAGTGATGTCAGTAGGTGCTGAAGCAGGCCTGTAAACACAGCTTTCACCTACATCCACCATTTACCAACCACAGACTCATCATCACCACCTCTCTCTTCATGGAGGAGTGATCTAGGCAACACCAGCAAGATCCACCTTTGCTTTACAATGACATTTAGTACTTTTAAGGACATGAATTGTGAAAAGAACTCTGGTATTTTAAGTATTCCACTTTTTCGTCACATTTAGTCAATTCCAGACTAATGACTCTCCTGTGAGCTGCACTACAATGTGGGCCGCCTTCCTCCCACACACACCACCTCACATGAAGGTTGCTTCCGTCCCTTTTTAGGCAATTCTCCATTCTTTCCATTTCAAAACTCTGCTTAATAATATTATTTGAATTCAAGAACTACTGCAAAAATCAATGCACCTGAAACATCCCACAGTGGCTCTGAGCAGAGCAGAAATCTGTGTAGCTGCTGGGATGTAAACCCTGCTGGCTGCTGGGCCAGAGACCAGAGACGTTTCTCCCAGTTCTGAGCAAAGCCTCCTGGGCAGCTCCACGCCGACTACTTGAAAATACAACCTTATTTATTATATATAAGAATCTCTTTATTTATTGATTTTAAAGCAAAGCTTGAGGCTTTTGCAGTAGAAGAGGCTTTGACAGGGAGAGTCTAGCCCACCTCTGTGCCTACTGCCATTGCCTTTCTGAAGTGTGAGGGTACAGAAATACCTCAGCTATCTTCAACCACTAAAATAACACTTCTGAAATACATTGTATTTTGATACATGAAACTTAAAAGCAACCCTTACAATCCTCTATAGATGTCTGCCCCCTGATCCACATTGGCAGGAACGAAATAAAAGGACAAAACCCTCAAAATCATCATCCAGTTTGATTTAAACAAGGTCAGATCATAAGCCAAGCACTACATATGTATGATTGGGCCCTAACTCTGATGAACTGATTCTGTGTGTGTGCATACGTGAGTGTGTGCTCTGGATACCCCGCCCCAAGCCAGCTGCTGAAGAGCACTGTGTAAACACACCAAAATAGTTGGGAAATGAATGGAATGGAGCCAAGACCCAGGACCCATAAACAAGAAACCATTTAGGCTATGAAAGCAACGGCTCAGCAGAAATGAAGAAAGAAGTGGTGTAAAGCATATTTTGTACTGCTGTAAGGAAAGCCTACTAGGAGTGCCGAGGTCTTCCCAGAAACCACTCATTAACTTTGCAAAGGGGAGAGGAACGAGCTCATACGCAATGCAAATGCATTGAAGGCACCTGAAATGCCTTTTTCTCCTTGGAAAAGATCAGTGTTGGAAATGTCCCTAGCAATTTTTCAGCCGTGGGGATCAGCTCCAAGTCCACGTTGCTCCACTCCCATGGGGGATGACCCATGCATGGGCCTCCAGCAGCACATCCATCGCACCAGCACTGGACGGGAAAGGACGGAGACAAGAGACAGCACAACCTGTGGCAGTCAGTGTAAGGAACAGAACAAGAAATGAAAACTCTGCTGCTCTTCCCTTTCCTGAATATCAGGTCTGGGGAAGAGACTTCCTCCCACTCTACAGTTTCAGCATAAGTTTTACATTTTTAAGTGACAGTAAGTAAAAGCAGATCTGTCCTATGAATACAACCAGATTGCCTTTGCTTTCAGACCGCCTGCTATCTATTTATGCCATGAAATATTCATTAAATATCAACCCCCAATCGACTGTTAAGGGACCCATCTTGATAAATGCTAGACCACAGATGAAAACAAAAGAACTTTGCAGTCTCCTCGCTTTGCTGAATGGAGCCATTAGTCATTTTTAAGTGGTCATTTGTTACATTGTTTTATCCAAGATATTTATAATAATAATGAATTGAGACAAAACATCAAACTCCAGCCTCTTTGCCTGAGAGCAATCTAAACTGAAAAGCACATGACAGAAAGGACAGATTGACGGCCAGTGCAAAGTAACTCCCTTGAGATTAATATATTTCATCCTGTTGATGTTTCTAGTCATAATTATACTGCAAGAAGCCACTGAATGATGTTAGATGTGAAAGAACACTTCAGAGCAGTCACTTTCTTTCTAGGAAAACTGCATTTGTTCGTAATAGATACAGAGGGGACAGCTGACAACAAAACCCAAACATATCATCACACTGCTACTAATATTCTGACTATGCAAATAAAACCATACATCTTCCTCAAAACACCCTCAAACACATTAAAAAATATAACAAGACTTTAAAATCACAAAAAAGTGAAGATTGAAAGTCCAAACTCCATCCAAAACCAGTGTAGCTCCAAAGTGAGATGAGATGAGATGGCCCTGGCGCCTGCCCAGCCTGCACTGGTGCATGGGGCTGTTCCTCCCCAGGTGGGAGTGGGACTGGGACTGGTACCGGTGCTGTTCAATGTCTTTGTTAGTGACATGGACAGTGGGATCGAGTGCACCCTCAGCAAGTTTGTGAATGACACCTCCTTCTAAACAGCTGAGCCAAAGTCTGCTCTTGTTTTTGTTTGTTTGTTGGAAGAGATGACACACAAACTGCACTCATGAGACAGCAGCACTTCTCAGGCTTGTCACCTAGACCTCTTTAGAAAATAAGCAGTCATCTCCTGACACCACTGAATTCAACACAGCTTTGTGGTGTTTATCATTTTTTGAGCATTAAGTAACTTAGAACATCACTAAGCCTGGTCGAATGAACCGCCCAGTGGTGTCTTTGTTAAGCTGCGCATGAAACCACAGTGTGAGTGGAACCCACACCCAAGATCACTCGTGAAGTAAAACCCGGACCTGCCTTTCCAACCTGAGCAACCTCTTCTCCCTTTTCATTTCACTCTCTGACCTCCTTTTAGTCCTGCCCACTTGGTTTTGGTATAAAGTCTTGATCTTTGTTTTGCTGAGGACTTTTTGAGTCCTCTCTATCAGTTACCCATTTCCTTACCAGCTTCTACCCTGGTCTCTCATCTCCATACATTCAACTGCTGTAGACTGAAAAACGTAAACCTTAAATGTCAGATTCAAGAGAAAACTGAACCACTGGATGCAATGGCTGTTATTATGGAAAACACAGAAGCATTGCAAGCTACATACATTCAATATACGTGCATGCCATCAGGTTTGTTTTGCATATTTATCATTTTTCTGGGAAAGATTAATCTGACCTTGTTTTATGAGACAGAAAAATTTATGTTCATACTTCCTTCATCGGTTGCACATATGCTTAGATGTCGGTTATTTATATAAAGCCACATTTACATGTACTATGATACAGTCTGAGGCAGACCAACAAAGAGCTAAAATATACCAATATAACATATACAGATGGTGCAACCCAAGTAGTTTACACCCCCAGTGATAAACCAACACACTCCCGTTAGCAATGTGAAGCTTTCAAAATTTGGTTAGCAAAGCAGCAATAAAGCGAAAGGCTGAGGCAGGCTGCTGGGTGAAATCCAAGCTCTTTCCTCTTGGAGCCAAAACTTTATGAACGGGTCTCAACAGTGACCACAGAGGAGCCCTCTCCACCTCCGCTGCTCAAGTTCTCTAGAATCAGCCTTCCCAGAAAAGAGATTTTTAGCCTCGGACTTTGAATTCCTCCATATTTTTTTCTTGTTCAGCGACATGACTTAATCATGGTACTTTCCTAAAATAAAAGATTCACAGCTGGATTCAGAGCCCTACGTTTGTAAAGACTGCCAAGCAGAAAACATGTAATGAATTAACTCAATAACCCCTTCCTTATCTGCACATATTTTGTGCAGCTTCCCGACGATTACTGCGGGACGTCATCGCAAGGGCATGAGAGAGTGGAACTGTGGCTTGACAAAGTAAGAGGTCACCCTGTTCTCCCTTCCTTTTGCCATCATTCTGCATTCAACCAGAAAGGCAAAACCAGAGAGAGGAAGAGGTACAGAGCTAGTAATACTGCTGGTATTGAACTGGCACTGGTTTTGTTTCTGCAGTTTTTTGCCATTTTTCTGATTGCTGCCACCCCTGAGTGGGACTTGGTGAAGAAAGCTCCCTAAGAAAAAGATTTTCCACCGTACCTTATCCCTCTTCGACTAGTAGAGCTCCCAAAATGCCTTACTGAACTGAGCTGCTCCGCAGCATCTCGCTGTACCACATCCTGCACCCCGCTGGACCACACCATGCGCCCATCGTCACAGTTCATTTGCTCCAGTGCAAACCCACAGGCACAGTCAGCTTTGCTAAAAAGGCCTTGGTAGGAATTGGTTAATGTGGCACCCCAGCCAAAGCCTATAGTTCACATCCTCAACAAGTCAGGCTGACAGACGTCAAGGCCTACTGCATTTTATCACCTAACAAAGCATAAAGTCAGTAAAGCGCAGAGATCCACTAACAGCTGCTTCCTTTTTAACTAGCGCAGAAAACGTGTGCTATAAGACAGCCAACTCTCTGCGATAAGAAAACAAAGCACCAAGATACATTCAAAGATCCCATAGCCTATTCAACTTTTTAAACACTATTTTTGTCAGTGTGGTGTCTGAGTGCCACTCCACAACGTATTAAGCTTCATGGCCAGCAGCTGTAATGAAAGACAACCCCTCTCTCATTCTCCCTTCATCCTTGAACATAATAACAGACACCACTATGCATCAGCCCATTCAAACACCAGCCTTCAAAGGAATTACACATTTCCTTAACATACTCCTAGGTTTTCCTCTGAACACTCAGGTTTGGTGTGAAACTGTTGCATTAAGCTACAGCTGCTTTAAGCTATAGCACTCCCCTGCCCGAAAGACAACACGGCATATGAAGCTCAGAGCAGTTATTAAATCTATTCTATATAAATTTTTGATAATAGCAGTAATATCTAATGCATATGGCTGTAAAAATGTCAACCAACTTTTATGGCTTTCCTCTTCATATGAATATTCAGTCATCCATTCGTCCCGAGATCCACTTCAATCCTGAAAAAGATGAAATAATTTAATTGAAGTATTTTCTTAGAGGTTCGTTAATTTCTCAAACATGTAAATATAAAACCTATGTATATGTAAATAAAAAAACCTAACCATGGATGGCTGTTCCATAGTAAAACAGAGGTCAGAAGAATGGTAAGTTTATAAGCACTTTAAACCAAACTGAATAACTATGACAAAGAGTGTACTGGAGAGAGCCTTACGTTTCCTCTTAACTAATGATTTTAGTCAATGCTCTCAGTGCCTTTAATTTCTGAGCTGCTACCTGAATGCACTAAATCCCAACTGCTTTCATTAGTCTTCAGGGCCCATTATGTATCAGTACCTTGCATTTGTACAGGTAAACTTTCCAGCAGTTACCAAGTGTGAACATTGCTTACTGGTATTTCAAAATGTGTTTCCCAGAGATGCTCTGTGAGATCTGGACAGTAACGCACTAAAAGCCAAAACACATTTATTAGTGAGCTCAGTGAATATTCCAACCGCAGGAAATAGCCGTGCAAGACCACTACAGAATCTGAATACGGCCTTCTTGAAAGGTTTCCTGTGGATACATGACTCTTTTAGTTATGTTTCCATGTGAATGTAAAAAAGAAAAATGTATGCTGATATTTAAATACTGTATTATCCTTTTGGGAAGCTCCTTCAGGTTTAAGAAAATACAGTAATTCAGTAGTCTGACTACTTTAAAGCTTTGGGGAAAAAAAATAAAAACCTCTTCAGATGTCAAAAACTTAAATAATAGGCAGTATGTCTGAAACCTCTTGCCAGAATATGTGCCTATATCTGGAAGCAAATGCTGCTTACATATGTCTCTCTTAATAATGGAAATGGTGTGAAGTCAAGAATCTAAACCTGCTGTCACGAGCTGTTATAAACAATCTGCTGTTATTTTTATAGCGTTCAAAACAAGGTCTTCCTTCAAATAGCAGCGGAGCATCACCTGCCCGCTTCGACACCACAGCCCAGTATTTCGTTACTGCTGTATACGCCACAACACGTCTAACAGGTTTCCCAAACACTAAGCAAACTTCTACACTGAAAACAAGACAAGAAGCTCCCTTAAGCATGTAAAACTAGCAAATATTCATACACTGTGCTACTATTTATTATACTGACTAAACACCATGCATTTACTTTTATCTGCTAACCTTAGTATTTCCTTTGAAATAAATTAAGTTCCAAATGTTCACAGGGGTCATAAAGGGCTGTAAAACCACCACAAACACTGACCTACCTAAACGTAACTAAATAACTGCAGGCTTAGAGCTTGCTAACTATTGTAGACTATTTGCCCCATCTCCCAAGCATCTCACAGTCTCTCTTTCCTTGCTGGTGTTTAATCTCCTTTAGCACTATTTGGACTGCTTCAAGATTTCCATTTTTTTTTAAATTGCACACCTGAAGAACCACCTTTGAGTTTGTAGCTTCTCTTTCTCTGTGCTGGTGTCCAAAAATAGGACACGTAGACCAGGTTTTCCATATTCTGGACTTACATGGCGTGGTTATCTAACCTGAGCAGGAAATGACTTAGTCATCAAGTTGTTTGAAATTAAATGCACTGCATTCAAAAGCTCCATGGGGTCTCTGTCAGAGGAAGACAGAGTTTGACCTACGGCTGTTTCCAGGTTTTCTCCTCATTATCCTCCCCACACGCACAGACACACACTCTCCTGCAACGCAACGCAGCGTCAAGTTACACACGGCGGCTGAAGTCCTATAGGGTTACCGTGGCTATGGTGACGGAGCAAACAGGGATATGTGTTTCAAAGCCGCTAACACACCGCTACCCAACTAGCCACAGTTGGCTTTGTGTTACTAAATCACATACAACGGCCCTCCTCATGGAAAAGCTACTTTGTTAGCAATGATAAATCATTCCACTTCAGTTGAAAAAGACCTTTTCAAGATCAGCAAGTCCAACCGTTAACCTAGCACTGCCAACTCCACCACTAAACCATGTCCCCAAGTCCCTAAGTAATTGGGTTTGCTTATTAATTCCCTTCAGCTCAGCACAATTTATCAAGCACTGAATCACCCACGTCCTGGCATCACCGAGGTGCTCTCCTCCATATAAGGGTTTCTTCGCGTCCTCCTCTTTGCCAAGCACAAGCAGGACACACCGCAAGCTCTGGCAATGCCACCATCCCACAGCGCTGCTCCACCATGACACACGCAGTTTGGGGATAGGACAGGGGTCATCCCCTACCACTGACCACCACAATGACCAAGAGCATTGATTCTGGTGGCCAATGCACACCTGCCACAGGCATCTTCATTGCAACTATTTCTGGGGAGAAAATGAAGAGCAAACAGTTTGTCTGAAAACAATGTTTAACTACTAACTCCACAGATCTGTTGCATGGTTCTCAGAAGAGCTGAAAAGCTTCGGATGAAATGACTTTGAAATGCATAGGAAGATCAGGACCATCCGTCCTTACAGATCCAGTGCCTCCGTTCTGCCACATGTGTCACCACTGTGAAACCTGCTCTGGACTCTGTTTTCAGTGGCTCACTGTAAAATCTGTTTCTGCTATCAAAATATGAAAAAAAGACATGAAATTCCAAATACAATCATCTTCCATTTGTATCAAGTGGGTTTTATACCAGAAGAAAATCTACCTGATGAGGCAACTGCACAATATTCCTGATTTGAAACCTTGATGTCAAAAGGGCTCTTTAAGTAATCAAAGCACCTGACAAACCACCAGTTTCAACCAAAAGAAAAAAAATTTAAGTAGCAAACACAAAATTATGTCCACTTCAAGCTGAGCAGGAATCATGGACAAAGACCACTCTGTGTGTAGATGTGCTCTTGTCTCTACAAATGGGACATTTCTGAATGTATAAACCCACATTAACTAACTAAAATACAAGCTCATACTGGTAACACTTTCACATCTCTCTTACATACTGCTAACTTTTAAGTAAAATCCCATTAATACAGTTACAAATCATTCCTTATACTATTTTCCCCCTTTTCTCAGACAGCTATGGGAACACACATTTGGAAAAGACCAGCTCATTTGCAGAGTTAAGTCACTTGCTGACTCAGGATTTATTAACCTTTCCCTCTGAAAAGCAAACCACATATTTGGGCATAACTGTGTCTCTTAATCTCCTTCTTGCCTCATTTATTTTACGTTAGAAGGATGCACTTTTCTCCTTGAAAGCTCTTAAATCTGCACTTATCCTTCTGCAGCCCCTTTCCAAGGCCCTCAGCCACACCACACTTCCCTGACAGCCAAGTGCAACTGCTCCCAAACTCACAAAGGCCACTCTGAGCATCGGGCAGGGCAGGATGACTGCAAGCACGGCTTCAGCAGCGTGCAAAGACAAAGGAACAGAGGTTTATCGTCAACCCAGTGCTGTTGCAGCATTCCTCAACATTTAAAATCAGTAAGGACCAGGAGAGGCTGAAATGCAGTGCAGCATTGCACTGAATCAGCACACCCCAGAATCTCCTAAACTGCACTTTCGGTGCCTACCTTTCTCCCTGGGGTCTAGCCCCTACAATCTCAATTAAGTAAGTTCTGAAACTGAACCAAGCCAAAACACTTTCTCATAAAGCTGTCTGTAAAAAAGTTTAAAAACCTCCAAGTCCAACATAAGCCACTGTCCCACCAGCACCCAGAAGATGAACCAGGTAATACAACATTAAATGCATTCTGTGTAGGTTAAGCATAACTGCTGTATATTTTATAGACCTTACAGGACCAAGGCAGCACCCACTACACCTTTTGTCATTCACTGAACAACTGTGACCATAAGGTTTATTCCGTCTTCAAATTTTTGCTCATCTTTGATTGCCATTCCTGTTCAAATAAGGCAAGCGGAGTTACTTGCTTTGAGGTGCCAGCTCCTCCGCCAACACCTCTGTTGCTCTGACGCAGTGTCATAACAAAAATATCTTAAGCTGCTCAAAATATTTCTCAAAATTAACTTAATGATTCAACTTCTGGCTTTCACTGGTATTTTAACAAAAGTGAAGAGAAGCAGGAGGCAGGGAGTGGGATGCTTGTTGCTAGGCAATACCTAGCTCTCCTGGACTCCTACAGACTGAAATATTTATCCAGACTCCCACGAAGAGTAACATCCAGCACAGCGAAAGGAGAGACGCACGCACTTGCTGCAGCACATCGTGACCCAAGGGAAGTGGCAGCAGCTCTGCCACCAGCTCAGCCCCTGGGTTTGGGATGGGGGCGGTGATGCAGCACTTCGCATACAACCACACCCTGGTTTCGGCTGAGCCTCATGGGGAGAAGCCTCCAACGCTCTGATGTCAAACCAGAACGAAGTCAGTGCCACTGGGCTCTTCGCAGTGCAAGGAAATGCATCCCTTGCTCACCTGACTGTAGAGCCATGCTGTTTTTCTGTCATTTTCCCCAAACCACTATACTCCAGTAATGGGTTTCCATAGAAAAAAGCATGCAGCTGGCCAGATGTGGATGAACCGATTCATTAACCAAACACAGAACCTTAGCCCCACGCTCCTCCTCCTCCCTTTAAAAGCTTTATTCAATGATTAAATTTCCACAGAGTGCTTACACAGTCCTAGAGGAACAAACATTATTTTTATGGGGGTCTTTCAGTTGACATTAATGAATTATTTTGAACTGAACAGCTTCAAGGATAAGTCCCAGACCTTTCAGGACTTAAAGATGAATTTCAAGAACTCTCTGATCTCCCTAGAACTTAAGAGTCCGGATTGACAAAAAGTAATTACACATAGATTACTACATTTCGTAATTTCACAGAATTATTACTCTGGCAAAGATGACGTCTTTCAGTAATATTTTAAAAACTCTGCAACTGTTATCAACGTACCCAAAAGGAATTAGTAAGTGTGTGTGCATGCTGCTATATTGTAAGGGTAAAAAGAAAGACTCAGTTAAAATCTGGAGATGTAATGGAGTCCTCAAATGCCTGGAATTAGGTAATAATCACTGGTTCACAGAATCACAGAACGTTAGGGATTGGAAGGGACCTCAAAA